TTTCAGTGAGAAGCTCAATGGTGCACAATTGAATTATTCCACCTATGATAAAGAGTTTTATGCTTTGGTAAGAGTGTTAGAGACATCACAGCATTATTTGTTACCAAAAAAATTTGTGATTCACACCGATCATAAACCTTTGAGGCATTTGAAAGGATAAGGCAAGCTTAATAAATGACATACAAAATGGGCGAAATTCATAAAGTCATTCCCATATGTGATCCAATATAAGCATAGAAAAGAAAATGTGGTAGCTGATGTGCTTTCAAGAAGATACAATCTTATCTCTACTCTTTTCACAAAGTTGTTGGGATTTGAGCATTTCAAAGAATTGTATGTGCATAATAGTGATTTTTCAAATGTTTATGTGGCTTGTGAACATGCGTCATTTTAAGACTTTTGTAGGCATGATGGTTTTCTATTTAAAAAGGAAAAATTATGTGTGCCTAATAGTTCTATTAGGGAGTTGTTTATTCGTGAAGCACATAGTGGTGGTTTAATGGGACATTTTGAGATTGACAAAACTTTGAGCATTTTACATGAACATTTCTTTTGGCCTAATATACGCAAACATGTTGAGAAAGTTTGTGCGCAGTGCATCTCATGTAGGCAAGTTAAGTCTACAGTTCAACTACATGAATTATATATGCCATTACCCATTCTTATATATCCTTGGGTTGATATTTTTATGGACTTTTTGTTGGGTTTGCCTAGGACTAAAAAAGGCCGAAACTCAATATTTGTTGTTGTTGATCGTTTTTTCAAAATGGTACACTTTATATCATATCACAAAATAGATGACGCCACACACATAGCGGATTTGTTTGTTCACAAAGTTGTTAGAATGCATAGCATTCCTAAAACCATTATGTCCAATAGAGATGTTAAGTTTTTAAGCCACTTTTGGCAATTTTTGTGGTCCAAACTTGGGACCAAACTTTTATTTTCTACTATTTCACAATCACAAACGGATGATCAAACTAAAGTAGTAAATAGAACACTTGGTATATTATTACGTGCTTTAATTGGAAGGAACGTTAAAACTTAGGAAGATATGCTACAATTTGTTGAATTTGCTTATAATCGATGTATACATTCTTCTATTGGGTTTTTTTTTTTGAAATTGTGTATGGTTTTAATCCCTTAATTCCACTTGATTTATTGCCTATTCCTATAAATGACATTTCTAATTTGGATGGATATAAAAAAGTAAAAATAGTTAAAGTAATTCATGAAAAAGCAAGGCAGAACATTAAAAAAAAATGAACAAGTAGCATCCCATGTCAATAAAGGAAAACACAAGATTTCATTTGAACCCGGAGATTGGGTGTGGTTTCATTTGCATAAGGAATGATTTCCATCAAAACGGAAATCTAAGTTGGATGCTCGTGGGGATGGTCCATTTCAAATCATAGCCAAAATCAATGAAAATGCCTACAAAGTGGACTTACTAGGTGAGTATAGTGTTTTCGCTACATTTAACATATTTGATTTATCCCCTTTTGAAATTGATGCAGGAATTGATTCAAGGACGAATCCTTTTGAGGGGAGGGAGAATGATGCAAACAAGGCTAAAAACACTCAAGATACTCAAATAGCATCAAAAGGTGACTTGCAGCAAATTTCAAATGACGTAAACATAAATAAAGTTCCAAACCTGAAAAGTTTCAGTGGACCAGTAACAAGATCAAAGGTAAAGAAGTTTAAAGAGTTGCTCCAAGTTTTCACTCAAAAATATGTGGATGATGGGCTGGCCAATTATGGAAAGTTCAAATATTAGCTTTTTGAACATGCCAAATTCGTAACTTTAATTGGGTTTAAATTATTTGAGATAATTTGGGCTTGTTTGAGTCTTGTTGGTAGTGGATGAATAAGTCTTGTGTATGGGCTGTATTAGTTGAGTTGTTTTAAGTATTTTAAATTGTTTTATTTTAGTTTGAGTTAATTAAGCCCATATAGTCAAGTGTAACTCATTTGGACTTAAGTCTTGTCTTAGTTATCACAAGAATGAGCCTATAACTATATGATGCCACAAACAATTAATGGTATTGGTTAAGAAGATTTGAGTTACAAAACAATTATATGTCTATAATTAGTCTAGTTATTGTTGGAATTACATTTGTAATTATCACATAATTAGCCTAATTATTGTGAGAGTTACAATTGTAGTTATTGTGTTGTAACTTATCATTGATTTCTTTGGATATAAAGATCAAAGGAACTCTTTTTGGTGAACATCAAGAGTGGTAATCAAATATTTCAGAATTGAGTTAAAAGCATTTTGACTCTCTTTTCACTTTATACACAAGGTGTTGATTTGGAATACAATTGTTATCACTTGAAAGTTGCTTTGATTTCCTATTTTAATTGTTCTTGGTGCTTGTTTGGATTGGGTTCAAGGGATATCATTTATCTTTCTTTAGTTCTATTTAACTTAACCATTTGAGTGATTGAACAAATTTGCTTCTTTTTTACTTGAAATCTAAATTCTGTTTTACACCGATTGAAGAGTTCTAAGGTTCAAGAAAGGGTCTTGGGATTCCGCATCATAACTCAATATGTTTAGTCCTTCCATGGGAAACAGGATATGCTGCAATATGTAATGTAGCCTTATTGTCACAATTTAGAGTAGCAGTTTGATCATACCTTACTTCCAGATCTACCATCAGATATTTTAACCAAGTAATCTCACAACTGGTTGTCGCCATGGCCTTGTATTCTGCCTCAGTAAAAGATCTTGAGACAGTAGATTGCTTCTTTGACTTCCATGAAACCAAAGATTCACCCAAAAACACACAATATCCTATTATTGAACTTCTGGTGTCTGGACAACTTTCCCAGTCATTGTCACAATATTCTCTGAGTTTTAGTTCAGAGTTTGAAGAATAAAATAAATGTTGTCCAGCACTGCCCTTTACATACCTTAATACTTTGTAGGCTACCTGTATATGTTTATCCATTAGTTTTTCCATGAATTGGGAGTTGCTGAACTGAGTAGGCCAAATCCGGCCTTGTGAGAGTTAAGGACATTAATTTTCCCACCAACCTCCTGTAGATCATAGGGTTAAGAGTAACTCACCCTCATTTTTGGATAATTTTAAGTTCTGATCTAAAGGTACCTTTGAAGATTTTGACCCTATCATTCCAACTTCGATTAAAAGATCAAGGGCATACTTTCTTTGACATATATAGATTCCTTCCGTGGACCTCGCCACCTCTATGCCTAAAAAATATTTGAGTTTTCATAGGTTTTTGATTTTAAATTGCTCATGAAGTGCTGATTTTAACTCTTCTATTGCCTCTAAGTCATTTCCTGTCATAATCACATCATCCACATATATTAATATGGCTGTAAAATTCCTTTATGTCTTCTTTACAAACAAACTATAATCTATTTTTAATTGTTTAAACCCTTGTTGTAAGATGAAAGATGAAAACTTCGCATTCCACTGCCTAGAGGCTTGCTTTAATCCATATATGTTTTTCTTCAATATGCAAACTCTTGTATTTATTCCCAACTTGGTATCCTGGTGGAAGCTCCATATACACCTCCTCTAAATCTCCATGTAAAAAGGCATTATCTACATCAAATTGTCTCAAACACCATTCATTCACATCAGCCAAAGCAATGATCAATCTTATCGCGGTAATCTTTGCAGTGGGTGAAAAAGTCTCATGATAGTCTAATCCCTCTCTCTGAGTGTATCTCTTGGCAACAAGTCTGGCCTGAATCTCTCTACCGTTCCATCAGCATTATACTTAATTTTGTATACCCACTTACACCCCACTGCTCTTTTCTTTGGTGGTAGGTGTGTGATCGCCTAGGTCCCATTTTTTTTTAGTGCTTTTATTTCACTGTTCATTGCATTTACCCATCGGGTATCTTTGCACGCCTCCTGGTAGGATCTCAGTTCCCGATCTGAGTCCACTAAAAGAAAATATTTTATGTATCTTGCATTTAATTTTTCATAACTCATATATGAAGTTAAAAGAACTGCCTTACCATTGGTTGGTGTGCTCCCTTCATTGTTGTCCTGTTTCTACCTATATTCATCACATTTCCATACACAGTCTTTTAGCCATGTAGGAGGTCTTCTTTCCCTACTTGACCTCCTTGTTTCTGTCAAGGAGTTTCTTTCATCTGCAGCTAAATCTTCTTCCTGACTCATCTCATTTCTTTCCATTTCAGTGCTGCTTCCATTTGTTCTTTCTTCAATTTCTTCTTCTTCCTCAATGGTGGCACTCTCGGTTTCTCCCTGGCCACTTTCTGCTTCATGGACTGGACTGTATTCTCTGTTTCTCACCAGTCCTGGAATCAACTGATTTTGTTCCCCTGCAATTATTTCATCCTTTTTCTTTATTCTCAAAGGCATAACCCATTCATGGAAGACAACATTTCTTGACACCAAAATTTTACCATTGTCTACATCAAGTAACTTGTACCCTTTCATTCCAAGTGGACAACCAAGAAATACACACCTTCCTGCCCTTGGATCAAACTTGTGCCAATGGCTTGTCAATGTGGAGGCAAATGCAAGACAGCCGAACACCCTCATGTGTGTGTATGTTGGCTTTCTCTTATATAATCTCTCAAATGGAGTCCTGTTTTGTATAGCTGTTGAAGGAACCCTGTTCATAATATAAACTGCCATTAGTATGAAATCACTCCAAAATTTCAGTTCTAGACCACTTTGAAATTTTAATGCTCTTGCAATATTGAGGATCTGTTGATGCTTCCTCTCCACCCTTCCATTCTGTTGGGGGGTTTCTACACAGCTCCTTTGATGCATTATCCCTTTTTTTGAGTAGAAATCCGGCATTAAAAGTTCCTCACCATTATCACTTCTTATAACCTTGATTCTAGCCCCAAATTGTGTTTCCACCCATGTATAAAAATTCTGCAGTGCTGGCCAAACTTCAGAGTTGCTCTTGAGTAAGAAAACCCATGTACACCTGCTGTAATCATCAACAATGGACAAGAAAAATCTAAAGCCATCATATGAGACCTCATTACAAGGCCCCCAAATGTCACAATGAATAAGATCGAATCGGTGTTCAGATTTATATTCACTGATACTAAATGGTAATCTGTTCATTTTAGCTAAGGGACATATATGACATATTTCATGTTTCTTACACTTGGACAATTTCAGAAAAGAACCTGCCTTAGGCAGCATGGAATGCCCTAAACGATAATGCCACAATTCAAAATCTGTCTTTGGATCATTCTCTCCGGTTCCAGTGGCAGCAACAGTGCATTGTCTCTCACAAAAGGTGTCCCTCTTCTGCTGCAAAATATACAGTCCCCGCTCTTGCTTACCCAGTCCAATCTTCTTCCATGGCTGAAGACCCTGTATCACACACATCTCAGAAGAAAAAATCAGACAACATTTTGAATCTTTGGCCAGTCTTCTGGCCAACAAAAGATTGAAACTGAAGGCAGGAACACACAACACATTGTTCAGAATTAAATCCTCTGATATTTTTACAGTTCCACCTGAAGTAACCTGCACTTTTCACCATTTGGCAATCCCACCTCAGATGTAACATTAATCATATTTTCAATATATAAATTAGGTGTGCAGACAATATGGTCTGAGACACCTGTATCAATTACCCAAGGGATTGCTCTCAATCCCTCTAACTCTACAGCATACATACTGGAATGAGAAAGCTTACCAGAGAAGCCATGAAGCTTCCTGTCTGCATTAGTCGAAACCCTAGACTGCACCATGTTGGCTGTAGCGGTATTCTGTTGTAGTAGTGACATTAGCTGTTGGCTGTAGCGGTATCCCATGCAGCCTTGCTCAGTGTTTGACAAGCTTGATTAGTTGCAAAACAGTTACTAAGCTGTTATGATCAGTTGAGGTTAATTGTAATTAACTTTCCTTAATCACTTAATATAAATACTGAGTGGTAATTAATGCACATACATCTGCCCGAACCTTGCTCTTCCTTTTCTCTCGAACAGTCTCTGTTTTTATTCACTGTTTGTATTCCTCTGTACAGATTCACACATCCTTCGTATTTCCTGATTGTTTACTGATCACAGATTCATACATCATTCGTCGATTGATTCTTTAATGTAGTAATCGATTTCTTGAAGAATTTTGTCGCTAATCTTTTCACAGTAATCTTTATCAGTGGGGTCGAATCATCTCCTGAAAAGCCTGTGGAAGAGAAATTACTTGCGTCAATTTTATCAACACTGCCTGGCCAAGATGAAGTTATGTGGGGGTTGCTCTGCGGATTCGTCGATTGATTCTTTAATGTAATCATTGATTTCTTGAATAATTTTGTCAGTAATCTTTTTACAGTGGGTTTTTGGAGCTCGAAAGAACGGGATTTTTGAATGAATCAGCAAGGAAGAAAACAAAGAGTGAGACTGTAAAATTAAAAGAAGAAGAATAAAGATTTTTGGGTGGGTAGAGCGCGAAGACAGTGACAATAATATAAAGAAATATAAAAAATAACAATTCATGAAATGAGCTAGACCCGTTGGTTGACTGAAGGTGGAGAACGTGAATTTAAGAAAAAAAGTGGGGAACTCAATAATTTTTCTTTTCTTTTCTTTTCTTTTCTTTTCTTTTTAATATTTTCTATTTTATTTTTTTATCTACCTTAATTTTCCATTCCCTTCATTTTTGTAAATAATTAAATAAGTGAATCAAATTAGAAGTGAATGAACTAATGTACATGATAGAATTTTAATAAATTTGTATATAAATTATATTGATAATTAGCTTATCTTACCAAATAAGTGTCATACCTTCTAGCTCATATTGTTTCTGAATTTAGAATTTTTCAAAACTAGATAAATGAATTTTCTAGGCATGCTTCTATTTCCAATAAAATAAATGATGACTCAAAAGTTTTAAAATGTTTAGTATGTAGTAGGCTAAGACCTAAAATAACCCAAAAAGGGGAAGTGAATTGAGTTTACAAAAGTTTTAAGATTTTCTAGAGGCATTTTTATACAAGAAATTATAAATTAATACTCAAGTATGATAGTATGAGTAGTGAATTTATTTTGTGACTGTATGTAAGTGAATATGCAATATGAATTTATGATAAGTAGCAAACAAGGATAGAAGAAAAAGAAAAGAGGTATAAAGGTTTCATTACATAACCTGTTACTATGTCTTATTTTTCAAGACAACCACTTAAAGATTCTACTATTTTCTTTAAAGTATTACAAACACTTATTGTTCATAGTGTTTATTTTACTAGCCATTCATGTTGTCTTGAACGCTATGATTCTCAAAAATTTCTTCAAACATTTTTACAATGCTTTAAAAAGTATAGAACAAACATACATAGCTTTTATCGCTTAAAGAGTAAATTTACAAATTATAATCACACATAAGATTCAAGATGGAACAAGAGAATAAGATTTTTTCTTTTGTTTTTCGCAATCGATTTTTTTTTATTTCTTTCGATTGTAAAATCCATATAAAGAAATTATTTAAATGTGTAAAAATCAAAGATAGTCATTGGAGGCTTTTTGAAAATTAAATTGACATTTAAAAGAAATAAAAGCATGTTAGTCAGTAATCAAAGATTTTCATTATGGCATGATCTTGCAAATGATACTTACCATAAAAGATAATCTATTTTAAGTTTGTGTAATCTTTAACTTAATTTGAGAAAATCACATCTTCTGTAAAGGCTCAAAACTTAATAAAAATGAAGATATTGAATTAGTAAAATAATAGCGGAAGCAATTACGAATTTAATTTTTATATTCCTTACACAGTAAATCAGGATGCTCAATAGGATTACAGGAATGTCCCTTTTAGGGAAGTTAAAATAACATGTTATAATAGAAACTAAAATCCTAATAGGGTTAATGTCCACTAGGCAACTCTGATGGAATGCGTGAGGCAACTCTTAGCCGTAACCTTCTTGTAGTTCAGGATCTGGATCTTAATCTTCCTGATCTGAAATGATTAAATAAAAGGAGTGAGCTACATATCCTAGTAAGAATATCAAAATTTAACACGTATATGGAAAACTAAAGATTAGTAAAAATTACAAAACAATCAATGGAGCCATTTACCCTTTTTTAAATAAATTTATTTAATGTAAAAATATAATGTTAGTTTCATATTCACCTTTTTGAGTTTCTAAAACCAGCCTATGAAGATAATAATCAGGATAACAATTTATTACATATTTAAAGGAACAGTAATAGTAAACGTTACCTTTTTACCTACTTACCGGTACATCCGGGAGTCTATAGGGGTTCTCCTTACGCGTGGACCCAATATCCAATATATCAATTAACCGGCCATCCCAATACTCTGTTCGGTAATAGGTGTCAAACGTACCACCGCCTCAATACTTCGTTCGTTATGAATGTGAACTATACCTCCTAATTCCTTTTAGTATAGGACTTTTCAGCCTCGTTTAACTAAGATAATGTCCATATAGGATTTATCCTATGTACCGTGTTCGTACACTCTTTTTCATGATACCCGATAAGCTTTTTATGCACACATTCACATCATTAACCAGCTACCAATTACACGCAATCATTTTATATTTACATATCAATAGTACGATAAAAAATACAAAGAATTAAGAAAACAAGATTAGGGTATTTACTTCAAATCAGTCAACAGGTAAGAATAACAGTTAAGCAATCAATAAACAAGAAAGTAATTAAAAGCCATAAATAATAGCAATTTTAGGCAGTATAGGAATAAATATGTAACACAGCTAGGGAAATTATATACTGACTAGTTATCTGGTCCACTGATGACCTGTATTTAATTAATTTTAGGTTTTCAGTTTTTACAAAAATACATCACTATTAATTATTAAACTTTAATTTACCGTAACAGGAGAAAAAAGTGATGGATTCTTACCCCAGATCGGTATTCGAAATACCGCCTTTTTCACTGCGCTTCCTGGTAGTTCTCGAATTTTTTAAGTTATTTCTGTAGAAATTAAAAATACGCGTAATGTATTTTAAAATACCTGAAAAATCCAAAAATAAGCATTTTTAATTTTTTTAGCCGATTTAGGGTTCCAGCATGGCGCTGACACCGTGCTTCGGTGCTAGCTCTGCCATCCACGACTGTGTCTCCTCTCAGCCTAGCTATTTTTGATCGATTTTGGCCAGTTTTGGTTGATTTTGCTACAAAAACCTGCAAAAAATAGGGTTAAGCGGCATTTGTTGGTTGAAAAAGGAAAAACCCAAGGCATTACCAGCAGAGAAGCTTTCCAATGTGAGGAGTCCACTGTTCATCTTTCGTGGCTGGGCGGCCTTTAATCGACTTACACCAAAAAAGGATTATGAGCACAACAGTA